AAGACATGTTAACATATTGTTGTGATACTTTGGCTTCTGGTGGCAACTATAATGGTAAGAGAAAGAGCATAGATTAAGAAAGGTGGGAGGACATAGTTGCGTGATCAACTTTCTTTTAATTAATTGAATAATTATACCCTTCTCAAATAATTGTTTAACTTGATTCACAGTGGTATTGTACCTCACTAAAAACTAGATTTATTATATTTGTTATCTAGCTATAGAGGCGGATTTTTAAAAAGTTGAGTTTCGAGACCTAGCAGGAGGTGGAAAATTGACAAGATGGTCAGATTAGTGATTAATAATTGTTTGCATTAGTGGTACGAAATGTTGAAGTAGATATCATTCTATCATGATGGTCACACTAGTTATATTAACAAATTTTTTACTCATTATTTACACATCACTGAAGTTAAATATACAACTGAATGACCTGGGCAGTCGTGAACTGTTGATTTTTGGGTGAATGAGACCACTGACCATCAACACAAAAAACATTTCACACAGCATGGTTAAACGTCCTCATATTCTTAGCGAAACTATATGCTTAAATGAAAGAAATCACTTCATTTTTACCGTTTTTTCTATTAGTGAAAATTAAGGAGTACTTATTCATGATTTGTGGTAGTTATCATGTCACTAATATGTGTTTTCTCATTGAATACTGATTAGAAAATGTGATGTCTTTATATGCGAATGTATGCATCATCTAGTGGTTAAGACATTTGCTGTAATTCTAGTTAACTAACATGGATCACAGATATTTTTTATACTGCGTGAAGACATTTGAAAAAATATACCTGGTCTGAGATTTTTCTACATTTTTCAACGTTATTTTTTTCATTATTCCATATCAGATATCTTTGTGTGTGTGTGTGTGTGAATCCATTAATGAAGTGTTCCAGTAGGGAGACATATTTTTTATTAATCATCGTAAACTAACAAGTTATGAAGATAAATTTCACTAATTCCACTTACTAAAATATAAGATAAATACATTATACCTCTCAAAATGTTATAAATGTATGGTTTAGTGGTAACGTCTCTGAGTGATACAGATCCGAGTAATTGAGGAGATCCCATTATTTCTTCTGAGATCATGGCTATTGACTTATTAATGATGAATTCTAATGTCAGATGAAGGCTGTTTGCCGAACTTGATTAAAATTCCAATTTGATGACAGATATATGATCTGAATCATAAATAAGAAACATTCATTAAGCTTAGTGGTTATACGAGTCAGACATTCTTTTACTTACTGTATCATTAACCTGTCCCATAATATTTACTTTACATTCCAAACAAGATAAATTATTGTTTAATGCATTTAACAAAATTCACTAAAAGAGAATTTCATTAACAAAGTCTTATCTCTTAAAAATGGAACGATTTTTTTTGCCACAAACGTTTGTTGTTTAGCTAATATTATTTGTTTTAAAAAAACAACAATGTAGAACAAAGTCAATGATTATCGAAGTTTGTTGCTGGGCTCGAATGACAACAAGTTGTTGTTATCGTTATTTCAATTTAGCTATATCACATGTGCACGCCATCTGCGAACTTATTTACATTAAAAATAAAATTAATTCTGTCAGTTTATTATTCACTGCTATAATAATCAACACTGATTGATTTATTGAGTTATAATGACTTTCAAAGGCTTGGTTATACAAAAAACAAACACAAAAAGACTATTCATTTCGACTAGTCTTATCTCTGTATCCATTGACAAAAACCCAGTGAATTTTCTCCCCCCTCTATCATTTTCTCGTTTGCTTTTTTGAATGTGTATATACGCAAACACACTTTTACGCTTAATTATTGTAAGCAGAGAAATAAAGTAAAAACAACTGAACATATTTTCAGTTCTTATTTGTGAATTAAATGAGGCTTGTTCAATTAAATACATAGCTGAACTTGGTTAGTCAGTAAATCAATCTGTTGACTGGGTATTAAGTCACTTGACTTGACAACAACCATAAACAAACAGCAAAACTTTTCTGTTTTGGCAGTTTTTTTTTCTGATTGTAAATGGAATGATGGGTAATGATTTTATTATCATGACTGACCATATAGTGACTGACCCAGTGGAATTAGCTAAAAAATGGATTGAACTAATAAACATGAGGTTCATTCCGAGATTTCAATATTCCGTTTAAAGTATCAGATTTATTTTTCTACAAAAAAATATTTCACATATTCAATACAATAAATAACTTTAAAATAATCTCAATGGTTAAGATCATGAGTCAATTGAAGCTAGACCACCATGGAAAACCTGGAAGCACTGGAGGTGGTTGTCTAGCTTCAACTGACTCATGATCTTAACCATTGAAATTACTATAATACCCACAAAACCCATCTGATAATAACTTTAAAATAGTTGACTGATTTTATTTAGCCGCGAAAGTACACAATCCCTGAGCGTATCAAGTCGGTAATTACAAATAGTTTATTAATTTTACCATAAATAGTCATATTTCAATGCAGAAAAATGGATCATACGAAAGTAGAAAATTCTAAATAGAAAGGGAATTAGTATGAGAAGGGAAATACAGAGAAAGAGTTCTAGGACAACGATAAATAATACTAGAAATCACAACCAGCTCGCATTTGTTTTCATTAGTTCACTCCATAAAAGTTGTAATCAGGTGTTAAATAATAATAAATGATGAATTAGTGATTTTAATGTGAAGATTGGGGCTATAGGTTTTGCTATTCTGAAATTACTGCTAATGACTTAATTCAAACTATTAAACTGGTAACTAAGATTCATTAACACTTTTGATCGTTAACCAATGTTTTCAAGCTATACAGAATCTTAGTGAAAAAGATTCGAAAATCAAGAATGTTACATGATTTCGCGAAGGAAAAAAAACGAAGTCTCAAATATGTGTTTTTTCAATTCACCATAATGTAAACCATTAAGGAGTTGATAGGTTAATTTTGAGCACATTTCTACCTAGGTAAAACTCTTGAGTAGGGCATGAAAAATTTGCCATTCAAATAAGAAGAATTCAGTTGAAATATTCCAGTCCTCAGACAATTAGTATTTACCATCATCTCTTCAACATAATCATCCTTCTTTTAAATTAACTTCACTGATAAATACTGAATTAATTAATTAATTGGTGAATAATTCATTTCGACAATTAATTGAATGGGATTTCAGTTCTATGATTATTTTCTTCAATAAAGTTAAATCTCTTTTCTTTCGAATATCATCTAGATGCATTCTATAGACTAATGATCTGACAATGAATGTAACATCTGATCAAGGCAATATAAATTTGAAAATTATTATTTTATTAGCCAACAAATAATCTGCATATATTTTAATTTAACTTCAATGTGTTACATTTCTCAAGTAAAAAAAGATGATGAGTTTCTTTATTTATGGTCATTTTCGTTATTCTTCTTATTTTTTTGCAGAAGACATATCACTTCTGTCAGAGTGTTAGAATCCATAAATTATAAAAGTATCCCTTTTGTAGATAAATTGGATTTGTCTTAAGGCAGAAACAATGAGAGATAGACAGTGTCCATGTATGTGTGTGTGTGTGTGCGCGAGAGAGAGAGAGAGAGAGGGACAGAGGAATCAACTTGTGACAAGAAATAATTTTAATTAGGAATTCTTTTGAATGTTATGTTTGTATACTTTTTATATTAGTTTGCAATTTCTCATCAAAATAGTTTATTTATTTCTCATCATAAATTAAAAGGTGAAAACTGGGCCAATAGGCTAAAAAGGATAATTTCTTCAAAAATATTTTGGTTTTCACTTTAAGATCTGTGCGTAAGTATAAAAAAACTGTTACTTATAGAATATAGGTTGAGGATGAGATTTGAAATATAAATCTGTATACAGAGGATGGGAGGACAACAGGGCATGTGTCAGACTGTATTTAAGGCCAAGAATGGAAGTAAAACTACACATAAATTTGTTTTCTTGTTCGTTTAACAAAAAAAATTTGTCAGACATAATGTTACATAATTATAGTTTATTATTTATATTCTGATAACAAAATGGAATCAAATGCTGTTCATTAACTTTACTCCTTCTAAAAAATTCGGTGAAAGACTATAGATACTAACTCTAGATGATGTAAACGTAATGGAAGAAACTAACAACTAAAAGAATAAATACTACGGTCACATTGTTCGTAAAATGTCAGTTTCACCTTGAGGACATTTCTGTGTTATGTCAGATATACAAACAACATTAGCAGAGATAATGTGAAGATGTTATGAGAGAACAAGCGGTTTGAAAAATTACTAGAATGACTTAGGTGACCGAACACGTATTCCAGTCAAAGACAAAATACCTAACCAAGCCATTCTAATTATTTATTTATCAGATCACTAGTAACTTATTGATAATAAACCTGAAGCGATGAAAATAACTAAGGAGGGCATACTTCTGCTTGTTACATCAAAACACTTTTATATATAATGAGTTGAATGTGAATAAATTTGTTAATCTCAACTTGCTGTTTTGTCCAGGGAGGAAAGTTTTGTTACAGTTATGCTCACATTACACTTTTATACCTTATTTATTTAATAAATCAGATCCCATTCTACAAATACAAATGATTCATTTGGACATTATATTATGAAACTCCACAGATATGAACACATTTATCGATTGTAATTCAACGAGGCTCTTCAGAACGACCAATAAACTTCGTCTCTCCGGAATGAAGTTGGATCTTTCAATGAGTAAATGAACAGCCATAAACAAATTAATCACTCACACGGCTACATGGTTTGTATTTGATATCATGCTCTAATACCTAATACCTGAAGAAAGGTATTGTTTTAGGAGCCCAATTTTTCCAGAAAAATAATAAATTCCTATCACTTTTTATTTTATCATATTCATTATTGGTTATTCTGTACTTTTTTGTAAGGAGACTTTGTATATTATTGTGTAGACTACTTCTCCAATAAAGTGATTAATTTTCAGCTAATTCTTTTTCTTACTGTTCTTTATTTACAGGAGTGTCAGAATTCTCTTACGGAAGATCTCTCGCTTATGCTGAATTTCCCTGATTCGATTTCAGATGGTAATCAGTCTTCAAACCACTCATTGAATAATAACAATAATAATAACATCAGTAATAACAACAATATTATACATCATACAGATGAAATAAAAACCAACTTAACTTACACAATTGATCGAATTTTGTTATCGGAACACGAATCACCAAACTCTGATTTGCTATTAAGTGTATCAAATCACTTAACTAATACACTGACAGATTCAGACCACACAAAAAAATTAACTCAATTTAATTCCGATAATGTTGATACTGGAAATCAGAGTTACGTAAACAATGTATGGCTTTCTACTGATCAGTTAATTAATGGCTCTAATTCTACTAATAATTGTAGACCAACACCACCATTCTTTTCATCTTCATTGGCTGAACAGTCATCATTGTCTTCTTCGTCATGTTCACAAACAGGTTTTCAATTTTGGTTTAGTATATTTTATAAACTTTGGTTGGAACAATTCAATCAAGTTCAATCAAAACCAATTGATTTCAGTCAGTCTGTGTCAGGGATGAGTTCGAAGAAAACAGATGAAATTCAGTTTAAATCATTTCCGTTTAGTAATAACATAAATATTCATGCTGATAACGGTAGTGATAGTTTTCTATTCAATTCATCAATACATCCTTCAGTGAATACATCGAATGATTTTCGGACGTTAGAAAGTTTTACAGAAAATCTTTTTGTGAAACCATCGCACATGAAAGAGGATTCTTATCACCGATCAGATTCATTGTCTTTAAACACTAATTCTACACTGTCCCCTCAATCATGTTGTATTACAAATGATATCAGCAACAATAAACGTAATCAGAACGATAACTCGAATGCTGACTCTGAATACAAACAACAACCCTTGTACAGAATGTGCGAAAATGGTACAAATCTAAATACAGCACACTTTAGTGATTTAAAAAATATTTCCCAGTCAGTTTCTCAACCTCCTCAATCAAAACGAGCGACAGTCCGGATAAAAATGAATATGATTATGCTCATAACTTATTTTCATTTCAGATGAATAAAATTACAACTCCTTGTAGTAATCCTTTGATGACAATATTAACACCATGTACGAAGAAATATAGTGAGCACCACTATAATTACCCACTACCTACTTCAAGTCACTCTCTTCCTTCTCAATCGATAACATCGACTGAAAACTCAAAATACTCAGTAAATGTTGTACACAAGCCATCGATTTTATCTAACTATAGGTTACATTCAAACTATTCAAGACTACGTGGAAAATCCGTGATTAGTGGTAACATTTCAAACGATAATTTACAACAACGTGGATACCGAGCTTTACCATTCCCATTAACAAAACGCGATGGCCGCATGCATTACGAATGTAATATATGTCGCAAAACTTTTGGACAATTATCTAATTTAAAAGTGCATTTACGTACACATACAGGTGAAAGACCATTCCGTTGTGATACATGCCATAAGGGCTTTACGCAGTTGGCTCATTTACAGAAGCACAATTTAGTACATACCGGTGAAAAACCACATCAATGTACAGTGTGCGGGAAACGTTTTAGCAGCACAAGTAACTTGAAAACACATTTACGACTACATAGTGGTGAAAAACCATTTGCGTGTAAGTTATGTACAGCCAAATTTAGCCAATTTATTCATCTAAAATTACATCGACGTTTACACGCCAACGAAAGACCATTTATCTGCCCAAGATGTCATCATAAATTTCTCGATTCAAAAGGACTGAAGCAACACTGGAGACGAGGAATCTGTTATTCTTGCGAAGAATTACCTCCAGGTAACTGGAGTGATATGGATGGTGATGAGGATGCTACTGAAACTCAAGTAAGAAAAACGCCTTCTTCAGTAAGTTCCAGTAATCACAGACAACAACAGCACAAGCGTTCAAATAGAATTTGTGATATGGACAGTGATATTAGCCACATTACTTCCACTACTACTGATAAAGGAACTAATAAAAGACGCCATTTTCCCACAAATATGATTCCAATGTATATAACACCATAAAAATGTGAAAGAGGTATACCTCTAGTCCCTAGGTGTGATAATTCTGTGAAGGTTATCGAAATTGTCGTGAATACTTCAAAACAGATTTTTAACTTACACTGAAATTCTGAATGACACGGGTACACCTTTTTAAAAATATGGCTGTGTAACATAAAAACATATTTTCAATTCTTGAAAGACAAAACTTTTCCAGTCTTATATAGCTAAACAAATAATATATTCAAATACCTAACTGTATATTATTTAAACTAGCAAACAATTGCGTCTATTGTGTAATTTCGGAGTGAAATATAGTATATTTTGTTAACTGGTTCTGTTGATTCGGGATTTTAAAGAAACTTGTGAATATACAGTAGCAGAATATTAAGATTTAGGAAAAACAAAGTAATTTCGACTATTATGACTACATATGTCTGAGGTTTCGGTGAGAATCTATTGCTCTAAGGATTAGCCTGACATACTACCATAATAGTTGTTATCTTATTTAATCTTTCTAAGAGTTATGAATTTATGATTCCTTGACTAAACAGAAAAAAAACATTGGAGAGGGAAGCATAATGGATAAGAAGTGCTAAGTTGTGAATGACATAGTTTACATAGTATTCAGAACATTTTCTATGAACTATCAAACTTAATCTGTTCAACATTCAAAGACAGAGTGAGCCGTTGTGGTGTTTGCTTAAAGCCACATTAGCCGGTTATTTCTTTGATATAAAATCACTAAAATGGCCACGAAAGTACAATCTCTGTAGTTTTGTCGTACACGAATGGGAATTTAAACCCACTCACCAAAACATACATGTAATTTTCAAATATCGTTTACTTTTAAAAGTTACTTTTTGACTAATATCTTTGGCCTGTTCATTCACCACTCACCAACCATATTTATTCCATGTTTGAGAATCCTAGTACATGAATTTGATTCCGTGACAGAAATTTTCCTTCATTTAATTTACTCATAATAGTTTAGGCGTGAGCATCCAGCATTCTCACGAAGTACGTTTACAAATCATAGGTATAAACCGAACACAACGTGTTCTAAGATTCCTAGACAAAGTTTCTGAAATATTTTGCCTTCGTTATCACCTTTGTTACCTGTGTAATCTAGAGCTAAAAGCTAGTCGACAGAAAAGTTATTTTCAGAATGACATTTGGGGAAAAATATGTCACAAGTTGAGCTGTGTCCACGATAAACAGCACTCAATAATCAGTGAAAATGATGGGTTTCATCCGCTTGCACAGCACTGGGTAATTTCAAGTGGATCTACGGAATCAGGACTAACCATACTTTAGCTATTGAACGAGAAAAATTGCCACATGATGACTCCATAGAATCTTCATATCATAGAATATGGGTTAACATGAAGGGGTAGTATGATTATATTATTAAATTTGATAGACATTTAAATGAAACATCTCCGAAAGTGTCAGCAGTCTACCTTATTCCCTATAATTTTGAGGTCTTTAGGAATGACTGAGCCTCTAATAATCATTGTCGGACCTTAAAAAATATGACGGACCTTTACCATCCTAGTGGTCACGAAAGTAATTCTGACATTTCTTATAACTTGGGATTCTGAAGGCAATTAGTCTAATTACTAGTGCCTAATTGTTACTAGTGAATAAATTCACGGGCGACCAATCAATGTTGCTTTGGCCTATTTTCGTCTTTTAACAACCCGATTCACTAAACTCTGGCTAGGCAGAGAGAGACTAGGCATTGAACCAACAACAAATGAAGTGTTTTTATTCTGTTATCCTCACCGGACTGTCGCTGCTACCTTGACGTGATGGTCGGGCTCGCCAATCGTGACGAACCAACCGGGCTGTACTGGCCATAACAATCGTTCCTCAAGGTCCTACCATGCCAGGCAGGTCGGTTTAAGAACAGCAAGACTAATAGCAGCAAACCCAAGGACCGAGGGCGAAGTCGTACCGCTGACTGTACAGAAGTGTGACGGCACTGAAGTGCTTCCTTCAGACAATCAGCATAACAGCGATTCTGTCTTCCCACAAGGAAGGATGAAGTTAGAAGAGGTCGATCCTAAGAAGTCACACCTCGCCCTATCTCACAGATTCGAACACGGAGCTAACACAAAAAGGTCGTGTGTGACCGGCCTCAAACATTTGTGCTTTGTGCACCGCGTTCACGCTCTAAGGTCGCGAAGACCAACTTTAACCCCATTTCCTTTTCAGAAACATCTAGAAGAACCTTTCCACCGTTTAAGTAACTGGGGAATGATAACCACCCTCATACCTCTAACAGCACCCAGGACCACTGTATTCATAATCAATTTCCCTCTTCATAACCGCTGACTTATATCCCATGAGAAGAATCTCACTAATTGATTCCTAAAAAAAGATAACATACCAAGAGATAATTGAAGTCCTTTAACAAAGTATCATTAGTGATAATCGTATAGGCTTTTAATAAGTTTACATTTCAGTAGTATTAACTCTTGACCACACTTATAATATCGGGACTAAGCATGAACACAAGCCACTGTAGATTTCAAGTGATGGACGAAATAACACTCATGTAGTTCTGATTATAAATTTTTGTCCAACTTAAGTTGCTTTGGGATATAAAGTACATTCGATTTAATACGAAATCCTAAAACCGTCATGTACAGAAACAAGATGTGACACTGGAGCTCAGTGTTTCCTGCGGAAACCAAACCCACAATCTTTTGGCTCTCGAGGGAACGCTTAACCCATAGTTCACTAACCTGGGTCGGGATAGTAATACAGGTCAAATCATTTATAATCAGTATAAACAAAAATTCATGTTATTTATAGTCGAAGTCTCTTAATTCCAACAAAAAAGAAGTGTTATGGATAATCATTTTCCTTGATACTTCTTTTCCAAAGTTGTGTAACCTAGTGTCAAAACAGCAATCATTTCGTAAAAACAAATGAAATGCACTACAGAGGACAGAGCACTTGTGATCAAATCATACAGCTTTAATGACCATGTATTTGGCTTCCATGATGTTTGTATTGTTTTGTACCAGTAGCTTTTACTGCAATACAGGTGCTGAACTCCACTTTTAATTCTTAGCCAAGTCACTGTAACGATAACAGAAAATGGAGAATTTTTCAGTGTTAGTGGATTGAGTGTATTCACTTCGTTCAACGTTTCCATTGTATATTAGTTGCAGAAACAACTGTAACGTGCTAGTTCGTAAATTGCGAAGATAGTACGTTCATATAATGTTGAGAACTAACCCAAAGAAGAATACTCCCTCTCTCTCTCTTGGAAAAAATGAATATATAGGGACGATGTATGGCATATGCTGAATGTGGGCTTAAAAATTCAATGAACAGACCTATTCACGGATAGAATCAACGTTTGTTAGTGTACAAACAGACGAGTCTATTTGATGGGTTCGTTTAATAGTCATGATTTTCTACATTTTAATACGTTAAGCTCCGTTCAAACTACGTTAGCCTTTAAGTTACAGACTCTATCCTCATGTTTAAGAAATTTCAAATTACTAACCTTTTACTTCGTCATAAATTAAATTTCTGTATTGTTATTTTCAATCTAGGTGACTCAATATGAGAAGAAATACGTTCTATAGGACCTTTAGTAATTTTCATAGGTCTTACAATTTCATGCTTAAATCGTTCAGTCTATGATTTTGAAATTAAGTTTAGATAGTTGACCAAGAGAAAATAACTTTCAAATTGTAAATCAAATATAACGAACTGATAAATTAATTGAATTATAAACTGTCGGTCGTCAATCACTTAAACACATCCATTTAGTTGAATAATAAGTATGATTAAAACAAAGTAGAAAAATGTCTCCGGAAACATTTATTCATATATTTAAACAATATATTTTATTTCTTAACAACATTAGAACATTTATCATTTACATTTATTTACGAATAGCTATGCTTATTAAATTGTTATTTACAAACCCTATGATGATCATCTGGTTAATTCATTCTTAACAGTCATCCGTCTTTTAGTCTACTCATCCTTCTGTAAAGTTACTTATTCACCGAAATGCGGGTTAAAAGGTAGCAGTTACTGTTGGTGATAGCAATGGCTAATTACGATTTGATGAGTTTATTAACTTTCCTGTATTATTTCAAATTCTAAATATTAAGAAAATAACACAAAAGCAATAAAGAAATCGGTTACATAATCGGGTCAATTAATAATGGAAAATGATGATAATGACAAAGAGAATGTTATGTTTACTTCAAAGACTAACTGTGTCACCAAGTTACTATACATCAAAGGGTTTTCAATTTGTTTTTCTTTACTGAGCGGTCATTTAAGGGGGAGCAACAGTTAAATAACATAAATGATAATTAAATAAATCAAGTGTGAAAACTTTGAATCATTGCTTCAACTCTCACAGATAGGACATTATTTAACTGTTTAGTGTTCTTTGACCTTAGAGATTACACCACACCCGTTAGTAACTCCACCAACAATAACTTCTTAAGGTGTTCATATGAAGTATGGTTTGTTTAAACCACTAGCCTAGTGCTGAAGTACCTATGGTTTAGTATTAATATTGATAATTATTGTTATTAAATAAATTCTTAGTTGCAAATCTTTTCTATTGTCCAAGGATATACGTTTTTAAGTGAGAATGTTAGATAAATAGAAGTAGTTATGACGATGGTCATGGTAAATGACTGTATCTAGTCATTAAGAAAGTCTCCTTGATACTTCAGAAAATACATCTCTTTAAGACATTCGCGTGAATATTATTTACAGACACAGTTGCGAATATTACGGCAGTGTTATTAGGCCACAAAAAGTTGTTGTAGGGACTGATTATGTGCTTAAATCAGTCTTCCGTACAAAGAGGCATATTAGTTATAATGATCTAAACAAATTCATAAAACTTATTAACCATCTCGCATAGCCTCATTTAATTTGATTAATTGTTGAAGAGTACTGTTGGGAGAGTATTCATTCTCAATAACCTGTAGCTTCAAGAGAAAATATAATGGAAAGGTAATGTTAGACCTTATCGACCCAGTAGTTTGTCCTGAGTTC